GGAGGATGTTGTTGAGGAGCTGACATTTCTAAAGGGCGGCAGGAACAACATACACAGTGACAAGCTAACATAGTACCATTAGCATGAACAAGATTGCAAGTCTAGACTGGATGCACCTTTGCTCAGATGCTTTGCGCAAAAGTAGGATGGTCTCCAGATTTTCAAAGTTTCCGTAGAAAACAGAAGCGCACGACAGCGAACTTCTTGATCCTTGCGCATGCGGCTGTATTCCTCATATGCTGCAGAGTGACGGATCTCCAGGGTAGAGCTTGAGCAATTGATGACCACGCTTTCGGGGTATGCAGCTTGATTGACACGTACGGTTAGAAGGTACATCATTGTCAAATTTTGGCCAAACAAGAACAAGGAGCCTGGCCATACTTTCCGGGGTCGAGTAAGCTCTAGCAGTGATACCAGTGCCTCAAAGCATAACAGGCAGATGAGTGGGACAGCGCAGTGAAAGATTAGTTCCGCATAATTCCACCAATATACATGCCAGCTGCGAACGCGGCAGCTTCAAGAGCCAGCGCCAGATCAACGATTTAGCAACAATCAGGCCAGATTCTGCTCATGCTTTTGCGAGGCATCAGCACCCAGGGAGGGCGTGCTGCTCTGGCAATAGAGGAAGCCGTCATGTTGTGCATAAAGGAACCCGTCAAGATTTCGCGCTCTGTACCTTAAATCCCCTCCGACAAACGGAACACGCGCAAGAAAGCAGCGTTTGCCGGTGCGGAGCATCATGGCCATTGGTAAGTACACAGCAGTGAGGATGCTTCCAGTGAAGCCGGGCAGTTGTATCATATACGTTTGCTCACCAATGAATCACATTTCTTCAGCTACTGCTGGTGTCCCTTGAATCAAGTAAGAATGCATTTCTCGAGGAATCCTAATTATTTGAGGAATTTATTTTGTTTTTTGGGGGGATTTTTTTTTGTTTTTGTGTGTGTTTGCTTCTGCCTTCTGTTGTTTTTGTTTTTTGCTTGTTGCTTTTTGTTTTCTGCTTTTGCTTTGCGCTCCGCTTTCTGCTGTTTCCTGCTCTCTTTACTTTTTGTTTTTTGTGTTTTTTGCTGTTGCTTTCTGTTGTTTTATGTTTTTTGCTTGTTGCTTTTTGTTTTCTGCGTTTGCTTTGCGCTCCGCTTTCTGCTGCTTCCTGCTCTCTTTACTTTTTGTTTTTTGTGTGTTTTGCTTTTGCTTTTCTGTTGTTTTACCCGGCCCCCGCGGCCCATTATCGTTATTCTTATTCTTATTCTTATTCTTATTCTTACTCCTATTCTTATTCTTATTCTTATTCTTATTATTATTTATTATTCTTAATTATTATTCTTATTCTTATTCTTATTCTTATTCTTATTCTTATTCTTATTCTTATTATTATTAATTATTATTATTATTATCATTATCATTATCATTATTATTATTATTATTACTATTATTACTACTATTATTATTGTTACTATTATTATTATTATTATTATTAATATTATTATTACTGTTGTTATTATTATTATTCTTATTATTATTGATATTAATATTATTGTTATTATTATTATTATTGATATTGTTCTTATTATGATTATTATTATGATGATGATTATTATTATTATTATGATTATTATGATGATTGTCATGATGATTATTATGATGGTTATTATGATGATTATTATGATGATTATATGATGATGATGATTTAGTTGAATTATTTTGTATTAATTACTATTCTCATTCAGTATTATTAGTATTATTAATTATTAATATTGTTATTATTATTATCATGATTATTATTAGATTATTATTAGAATTATGATTATTATTAGATTATGTTATTATGACGATGTCATTATTATGATTATTATTATGATGATTATGATATGATTTATTTGAATGATTATATATATTAATTATTATGATGATTAATGATTATGATTATTATTATGATGATTATGATCATGATTATGATTATTATAATAATATAATAATTATTATTATTATTAGTATTATTATTATTAGTATTAATATTATTATTACTACTACTCTCATTATTATTATTATTATGATTATTATTATGATGATTATTATGATTTTTATTATAATTATGATTATTATTATTATAATTATGATTATTAATATTATTAGTATGATTATGACTATTATGATTATGATTATCATTATGATGATTATTCTTATTATGATGATTATTATTATGATGATTATTATTATTATGATTATTATGATGATGATTATTATTATTATGATGATGATTATTAATATTTTGATTATTATCATTATGATTTTTATTATTATGATTATGATTATTATGATTATTATGATTATTATGATGATTATGATTATGATGATTATGATTATGATTATGATGATTATGATGATTATGATTATTATGATTATGATGATGATGATTTTTATGATTATACATTCATACCGCAAGCCTTGGCTCTCCGTTGATAAGGGCCCTTGGGCGAGAACGGCTCACTTATCAACTACCTGACAGGGGTAGAGGAGTATGGACGCAGACACATATGCACATACACATATCTGTCGAAAAGACGCTATTCCTTGTGCGCGCCGGCTCACCTTGCAGGTATCTGACTGGAATTTCAAGTACTTGACCGGAGTAGCGGAGTATAGATGCATACACATATGCACATATACATATCTGTTTTTAATCCGCTATTCCTTGTAAGTGCCGGCTCACCTTTCAGGTGTCTGACCGGAGTAGAGGTATCTACACGCATACACACAGGCACATCTACATATCTATTCTGTTTGCCGTTATTCCTTGTGTTGCTGCTGCTTTGTGCTTATTGACTTTCCTTATATATTTCTTCCCTTTGTTTCCTCGAGTTCTTGGTTGCTTGCGTGTTTGTTCGTTTGCTTGCGTTTTTGCCTTCTTCTTTTTTGGCGCCCTTGCCTTCTTCTTCCCTTCCTCCCTGCTTTCCTTTCCCCCCATTTCCTCCCTTTCTCTCGCTCTCCCTCTTCCTCTTTCCCTCTCCCTCTCCCTCGCCCTCGCCGCCTCTCCCTCTGCCTCTCCCTCTCCCTTTGCCTCTCCCTCTCCCTCTTCCCTCTTCCCTCTTCCCTCTTCCCTCTCCCCTCTCCCCTCTCCCCTCTCCCCTCTCCCATCTCCCCTCTCCCTCTCCCTCTCCTTCTCCCTCTCCCTCCCCGTCCTCCCTCCCCCTTCCACCCCCCTCCCTCCCCCTCCCTCCCTCCCTCCCCTCCCTCCCCCCTCCCTCCCTCCCCTCCCCCCTCCCTCTCTCCCTCCCTGCCCCCCCTTTCCCAAGCAAAAGCTAAAAACAAAAAAAATTCTCCAAATAAAAAAAAAAATTCCTCAAATAATTCCGGACCCATTTCCAATCACCAGCAGCACCCCGTCAGAAGCTCCTGTATCTCTGCCCCAGGCATTGAAGGAGAACGTATGACCAACAAGCAATGGTTTCAGACACCAGGAAATGTGCATGTCAAGTCACGAAAGCCAGCGTGGCGAGCCTTTCGTTTCTATCTGCTTCATCAGTGGGGCCGGGAGCGGCTCGGACAGCTGAATTGCTTGCCCATTCCTCTCCTTTCCTCCCCCCACCCCTCCTCCCCCCGAAGATGATGATGACGACGGACGATAGCGGTGCACCTGGAACCTCTTTTTTGTTTCTCTTCCCGACGACGACGATGATGATGATGACGACGAGGATGACGAGGATGCAGTTGCCGCCGTTCCCTTGTTGTCGTTGGCGATGCTACGGACGCCAATTCAACATCGAATCATCATCATCTTTGTCGTTAACAGCAGGTTTTTGGGCTCGCAAGGCGCTGCCACCCCAAAAACCTGGCACGTTTCGCCTCTCTGCCCTGCCCTGCCCTGCCTTGTTTTGCGCTGCGCTCCCTGCCCCGCCCCCCAAAAAGCAAAACCGAATTAGTGGCAGCCACTATCTCGTTTTTGCCTTGCTGTTGCCTCTGCCCTAATTCGTTTCTGTCCTTCCCTGGAACCAAAAACGATTTCGTGGTGGCAGCCCCACCTACCCCAGAACCGAGCTTGACTGAATCACCAGTAGCATTTGGGCAAAGGGGCATGGGCAAGTGGGAATGGGTGGGTTTGGAGGGTTTCGGTGGTTTTGCACGGTTTTGGGCGGGTTTGGTTGTGCTCTTGGCGGTTTGTGGTCATTTCAAAGTTTCGATTCCGGGTGGGGAAAGGGCCCCCTGCCCAAAGCAAAAGAGCCACTAATTCCTTTTTGTGCTGCCCTGCTGTTGCTGCCGCCGCCCTGCCCGTTGGTGGAGCGCGCGTAAGCGCCTGACTTCAAAGAGCTACAGGCTTAGATTCAATCCCGACACCGCTCCGATCGATTCGATTCGATTCCCGACCCGACTCCCGATCTTGTTGTGAGGTTGGTTGTCCATGTTAAAGCATATGGCGGCCTTCCAAACCCGTGATGTCAAGCCGGGCAAGCTTGCTTCAAAGCTCATATCTTTTCGAAAACCATGCTGCGAGCATTGTGTTTGCAAATGGGGGGGGGTGCTGCGCCCCCCCGCACCCCCCCCCCCCCCCCGCTTTTTTAAGGCAGGCAAGCTAGCCATGATGCGAGCATTGTGTTTGAGCCGGGCAAGCTTGCTTCAAAAGCAAAAGCTTGCTTCAAAAGCATATCCTTTCGAAACCCATGATGCGAGCATTGTGTTTGCAAATGGGGGGAGAAGGGGCGGGCAAACTTGCTTCAAAGCATATGATGTCCTTCCAAACCCATACATGGGCGAGACTGCGCCCCTCACCCCCCCAAACCCCCCGCTTTCTATCTGCAACATTCTGCAGAATATCGCATGCGTGGAACTGCCCGAAGCCCTGGCACACCAGGCACCTTTGTGTAAGCCGGACGAGCTTGCTTCATAGCTTATATCCTTTCGAAACCCATGATACGAGCATTGTTAAATGGCTACAGTTTGGCTCGAACTCGAACTCAAAGCTGACTTAGTCTTGCGCTGAAGCGCGGTGCTTGCGGGTCCCCGGCATGGCAAACGAGGGTCAGCCTGAAGCCCTTGCACTTGTGCGGCATGAGGAGGATGAAGAGCAGTCTCCCAGCAAGAAAGCAAGACAGGAGCTCCCGATTACCCAGCTAGACCTTGTTTCAACGATCCAGGCAGCCGTTGCCTCGTCTGTTGCTACTCATCTTGCTCCCTTCACTGCATCACTACAGCTCATTCAACAGGGACAGTATGCGGCAAATCAAAGACTCGCCAGTGTGGAAGTGAAGCAGGAACAGACAACAAGGGAACTCAGTGAGCTAAATGATGCCCATAGCAGACGTATGGACGAACTCCAGGCCGAAATTGTTGAGCTCCAAAAGGCCGATTTCTCCAAACCTACGTGCCCTACATCGCCTGAGACGTCAAGGGCGTATCGGGTAGTGCCCCCGGCGGACCAGGAATCCTTGGATTTGGTGATTGGTGGTTGGGTGGAAGGCAAATCCAGGGATGCGGTTCTGTCTCTCATTCAAAATGCGGTAAGCCAGAGTGGGATGGGCGAGAGGGTTGTTGAGACTGAGCCGCGGGGCAAGCGTCCAACTATGTGTAAGCTTGTCCTCTCCTTCCGGGCTGGCCTTTCTAATTCTGAGAAAAGAAAGGAGCAGCTCGAGATCAGAGATGCTATCAGGGCTTGCCTCCAAGCACCTGTGTGGTGCAAGACGGATCAACCACTTGACATCAGGGCGGTGGGCAAGGCCATTGCCATGCTCAGTGGCTTCCTCGTTGAGAAGCTCACCATGAGACGGGAGGATCTTGAGGTGGGGTCATGGTCCCAGGCGCGTGCCTTCATCGGGGAGCACCGGGTTACCAGGATGTTGTCGGCTTTCGCCCCTAACAGTCACGTTCGCCAGGATGAGCGAATGATTGTACGTGATGCAAAAGCGGGTGTATCAGTGGCGGTTGATCTCGCGGCGCTTGCCACCGCAGCCAAACGGACCCCTCAGGATGTGGCGGTCCTGTGGAATACTCACTTCAAGTGATCCAGTGGGTCGGTTTCACCAATGCAGCGCTCTCCTGATTTCACCAATACTTTGTTGCAAATGTGTTCCTGGAATACCCAAGGTAAGCCCTGGAATGAAACTTTGCAGGTCCTTGAGGATGCTGAGGTTGACAACCACGTCATTGCTTTACAGGAGGTTACTGCTTCGAAAGAAAGCGGTATTGCATGTGGGTCTGAAGCCCAGACCCCTGAATGTGATATGGTGGGTGACATGCTGGTCTTGTCAGGCCTCCCTGAGGGATGCTTCCGACGCTTGGTTTTCTGCGTTGAGGATGGGATCAGCTGGTCGTCGTTTCAGATTGGGTATGCGCACATTTGTATGCGCTTCCAGGCTACTGGCAGGGATGTTCTGTTTGTCAATGTTCACCTCCCTCATTCTGGTCGCCCCGTCAATGACTTCTTACTTGCGTGTGAAAGCATTGTTGCAACAGTCCAACCAAGCTCGGACAAGGGGATTCCAATTGTTCTTTTGGGCGATTTGAACTACGATCTCTTCCGTGATGACCCTGCCTCTGACCGGGGAGCTGCAGTTCATGCAATGCTCTCTGTACTTGGTCTCACGGTGTGGCCTTCCAACAGAGGGTACACATGGAGACGGAGAACCATTGATTACGTCATTTGCAATGATGCTTTTGGGCGCATGTCCGCATGTCACTCCTCGGCGCACCGTCCCTGGGGAGAATATGCTGTGCGACCTGATCTCCGGGAGATGCTGCGTGTGGATCACAATGCCGTGGTCTGTGATGTTTTGTTGCCTCGCCCTGCTGGCCCTGCTCCTGGACGAAGGCGGCGTCGAGTTGACTGGTCCCGCGTGCCCCGCCGCATGTGCGTGGTGGATCCGGATGCAATGGCAGCACAGGTGGATGCACTCCCACAAGCCTTGGAGGGCGCCTCCTCCGGCGTGCCCTGGTTGAACCGCCTTGCAGCCACACTCACGAAACCCCGCAGGGCACTCAGATATTTGGACCCGCCTGAGGTGAAGGAACTCTGTCATGTCCGTTCCCGGACGGTCGATTTGGAGGTCAGGCGCCGTCTGTCCTTGCAGATTGTGGAGGCCTGCAAGCTTGCAAAACAAGCGTGGAAACGCCAATTGTATCTCAGTGCGGCTTCGGGAAACTGGCAGGCCAGAAGAAGGCTTGCGAAAACCGTTTCTCTCGAGGCTTCCTTATGGCCCATGTTGTTGCAGCTGGACGGGGATCGGTCAAAGCTTGTCGAGGAGGTCAAGACCCATTTCATGAACAAGTTCTCCCCTGAGTTGCATTGCGGTGATGTTCTTAGAAGGCTTGCACAGTTGCCGGATGTTGAACCGCCCTTCACTGCCCCGGAAATCTTGGAGTGTCTGCGTACCATGAAGATGAACCAGACCACGGGCATGTCCAAGGTCAGTGTGGAGCTGCTTAGAGCCCTGACGGCACATGAAGTCGGACTCGCGAGCTTGCGACGGATCTTGAATGATATGCTGACTTGGCCGGAGCTGCTCGTGCAGTGTGACCTTCTGGTTGGGTGGGTTATTCTCCTGCCTAAGAAGCCTCAAGTGAGCAGCGCAGACATGTTGCGTCCGATTGTTCTTGGAGAGGTTGTGGTCAAGAGCTTGTGTGGATCAAAATCATTAGTTCAGGATCACAAAGTCAGTAAACCAGGATCTATAACAATGTAACATTAACCTTCCTTCCATGCAGAGACTGCAAGACAAGGTTGGTTTTGCCTCCCGGCTCGCATGGGTTTTTGGCTTCCTGGCTCCTTGGCTCCTTGGCTTCTTGGGCTTGAGCTTTCCTACAAGCGGGGGGAAAAAGAGAAAATAATGTTATTTGAATTGCTTCTCATTTTTGTATTTCTATCATTGTCTCTTCTTTATCACTCTCACGGGAGAAAACTACAGAACGCAATCTCACCATCACTTGCTTCTATTATCTCGCAAAGTACACGTACAATTAGCATAGGAGTTACTACCTCTCAAGGTCTGGGTTTAGGTTAGGGTTGACTTAAGTTGGGAACCCTGAGAGCCCGTACGGAACCCCTGTACAAAGTGTTCTGACGCTTTTCAGTGCTCTTTAACTCGGTCATGATGCCTCATAAGTGCAAGCACATGACTATGACTTCTACAGTTACGAGTATTGTGAGTAGTAGTAGTAGTAGTAGTAGTAGTAGTAGTAGTAGTAGTAGTAGTAGTAGCAGTAGTAGTAGTAGTAGTAGTAGTAGCAGTAGTAGCAGTAGTAGCAGTAGTAGCAGTAGTAGCAATAGTAGGAGTAGCAGTAGGCCGGTCAACAGCTTAGCGTCCAGTCAAGTTGCTAGTCTAGTGGCACTGCATAGCAGCATATAGCAGTGGCGTTTCACAAGAGCTCAGAACGGAAGTTTCTGTACTCCGCAAGTGAAAGGCAGAGTTCCGCTACGAATAGCAGCAAACCCCTATCTCACCCAAGGACGGTACATGCACTATACAAACTCAGGGCTCGGCTGTGTGGTCAGATCAATGATGGTCCCATTCAGAGTTCCTCGAGGGACACGTGGGAAACGGGAACAGAAAGTCCACGTCGACTGTCGCCACATATCCTTACAGCTATCGCTTCTGATGGTGGGAGATCCGTGAGGTGGGTTGAATCTGTAACTAACCACACATAGCAGATATCTAACAACACCATAAATCAGAGAATTCATGTGGCCGAAGAGTCGCCACACAAACGCCCTGGCCTAGTGTTACCACAGCTAGAGGGCACAGCCGTAACGGTTGTCCATTGTCCTGAGCGGGATCTTGCCCACACACGACTGGTTCTCCGCGTTTGCTTCCGCACTTGTTGCGTGCCTTGTTGAACTTGTACGTTGCGTTTCGCAACCCCCGTGGGCAGGACGGCAGCACTCACACCATGAGGAAAGAGTTCTCGCCGTCAGAGTGGGTCCATGGTTGTACATTTCCTCGCCCCGGACTTGGGACCGGGCCGGCCCTTGTTTGTTATTGCTGACACCCATCGTCAGTCTCGAGTCAACACTTGACGAAGACACGTGCCGTCAATGGCCTGTCACCTTTCCAAACCCAGCATGCGAGCATTGTGTTTGCAAAGGGGGGGGGGGTGGGGGCTGCCCCCGCCCCCCACCCCCTCTCCCATGCACCCCCTCCGCTCTTTTAGGCTAAGCGCTTCTTAGAATGTCGTGCTGTCAGTGGCCCGTCAATGGGGACTCCTTCAACACCCAAATGTATGCCATCCGTCGAAATTCCTTCAAAACCCGAATGAATTCTTGCCGAACCCATGATACGAGCATTGTGTTTTGCAAATGCGGGGTGGAGATGGGGGGTGGGGCTGCGCTCTTGAGCTCTGCAAACGTCGAAAGTGCTGCCAGTTTACAGAGCTCCCTGAAAGGAGAAGACAGAAAGAAGCGAAAACACGACAAACAGAGAGGGAAAAGAAACCATCATACGAGGAGCCTGCTACTGCCGAGAGTGCGTGCATTGCAGAAACCATCAGACGAGCAGTGTGATTAGACATGGGGTATGCAAACAGACATTTTAGCCAGGCATGTTTGCAGCAGCCCAGGCCCAGGCACAGACTGCAAAAACGGTTGTAATTTCCAGCATTTGGAGCTTGTGAGCAATCACAAACGTTGCTGTAGGACTGTAGGATTTTCTTGAGCTTGTGAACTCCAGAAATTCTGCAACTTGCAACATATGGAATTTAAATCATACTTTACAGCACTTGAGCCATGGAACAATACAAGACCTGTCAATAATAGCATTTGGAGCCCTGGAACACGCAAAAATGCTGTGCTTTTTCAGCATGCAGAGCCTGGAACAGCCAGAAATGTTGTATTTTCAGCATTTAGAACCCGCGAGCAGCTAGAAATGCTGCATTTCATAGCATTTCGAGCAAAGGAAAATGGGGACTCAAGTCTTTTTCATCCCGATTTAATTTGTTGATCCATCTGGCTTAGTTGTTTTGATCTTGGCTGATGTCTTTTTGATCCGTCACCCTTTATCCCCGGCTGACCGGCTTATTGATTGAATCTGCTTGCTGGTGCAAGAGGAAAGCAGAAGCGTTTGCAGGCAGTGCGGGCGGCTATGGAAATCCTTCCGGGCGATTTTGCTGACGATTACGCCTTCCACACCAAGTGGGGGAAGCTGCACGCTGTCCCTCGGAAGGAATTTTCTGGTTCATTTCGCCGTGGGTATCCTGGCATTGTGCGCCCCATGCGCGGTGCATGCACAGGTTCAGGATTGCTGCAACAGTTTGTGGACTCTAAGAGTATCTGAAGCCATCATCATTTGCAGCAGAAAGCCGCCCTTTGAGCCCAGATTGAATTGCACAGGTGCAAGAGCAGGGCCTATATTGCTCCACCTTGTTGCTGCTGTTGTCATTAAAGTTTGGGCCGTGAGTCACGTCCTTGCAAACAACCACGCAGCCAGCGTTCTTTTTCGTAGATTGTTCTATGTTGTTCTATTCTCGGCATGTCGAATAAATGTGCAGCAACAAAACACATACGCTCCCTACATGTCTACGCACCCGGCTGGAACCCTTTTCCTGCAGGGCTGGCTGATAGCGGATGCTTATGCATAGTGTCCAGGCCTAGTGCAGGTCGACAGGAAACTTGGCGACAAACGTACACAAAATCAGCAGACTCCGTAATGCTGGTGCTTCTGTACTTGCAAGTGCAATCAATTGGTCGAAGCCTTGCGCGCCAACAAGCAACATATCACGACCAGCCAAATTCGCATGAAAGCAGTGCGCAGCAAGAAAAGAAGCCATTACACTTGCAGGCAACACCGGGCCGCTTTATGGTGGCCATCAAAGACGATGATGGCAGCATGGCCTGGACCGAATTTGAATCAAAAGGTTGTGTTTGCGGAATGCGCTCCTGACAGGCACCTCCGTGGAGGTGTACACAATGCCAGCGCGCGAGTTTCAGAGCACGTGCTGCAACCTGGAGGCCTCTGGAAGCTTTGTTTCCTTTCGTAGTCAGAAGCACGGATACTTGCAGGGCGCACCAGCTCCTGGCCTTGCCGAGCCTGTGCAGTGATGCAAAAAGCTTTTAGGGGTTACTAGCGAACAATAACCATGAACAAGGCTATTGCAACAAGGGCTTAGTAAGCTCTTCTAAGGCTCAATATGTGGTTATGTGGCGGGGACCCTTATGGAAGCTTATGCTTCCCTTCTGAAAGGCTGAATCTGTGGCAAGCCTGTGCTCTGACCCCCATGGTTCCACTCTTGTTCGCGCAAGGAAAACAAGCAGACGCAGGGGGTTGAACTGTCGCAAGACTTTCCAAGCCCTGTGAGCTGCACACCGCGGGTCAGGTTTTCAATTTTGTCATGCTCTGCCAGTGTTGGGACATAGTCGCCCAAGAGAATGACAGGGTGCCTGTCCCCAAGCCCACCGTCCACCACAGTAACAGGCAGAGGGGCTGTCACGTTTTTTTAATATATATATATATATATATGTATATATATATATATATATCTATCGCCCCATGAGTCCCGTGGGCAATGCATCCTCACCGTCTGCAGTTTCGACTTCTTGCCTCATGGATTGCTCCAGCTCAGCTGCCACTTCATGAAGAAACCTAGGTTGGAGACTTTTAAAGCCATGTGGTCCACCAAGGTCAACCTAATTCTCCTGATTGAATCTACGGCTACCAGGCAGGACACGCCCTTTGTCATTGCCTTAGCCGAAGACCTCGCGACCTCTCTCGGAGTGGATAGATTGTCTGTCATTGTTGTTCTGTTTGTCTGTCCTTCGCCATCTGTCCGTCTGTTTGTGTGTATCTGTCATCGTCGTCGTTTGTCTGTCTGTCTGTCTGTCTGTCTGTCTGTCTGTCTGTCTGTCTGTCTGTCTGTCTGTCTGTCTGTCTGTCTGTCATTGTTTGTCCTTGTGTGTCTGCCCTTGTCCGTCTGTCTCTTTCTCACCGTCTGTCTGTCGGCGTTTGTCCGTCTGCTTGTTTGTCTGTATGTCTGTCGTCGTTTGTCTGTCATCGTCCGCCTGTCATTTGCTGTCATCGTTTGATTGTTACCGTCGCTCATCTTCTGTTTGTGTATCTGTTTGGTTGTCTGTCATCGTCTGTCGGTCTGTCATCGTCTGTCCATCATTGTTTGCCTGTCAGTCACTTTCACTGTTTGTCTGTCACTGTCTGTCTTCCTATTACTTCCTATCATCGCCTGCCATCCGCTGACAAGTTTGATCGGTCTACCCTCAAACATCGTACCGCCCAACATGTAAAAACCAGTATCCCTAGACCTAAACCGTACACACTAAACCTTGACCGCGTTGGGTTTTTAGGGGTGATCGAGCTGAACCTCTGTGGAGCGACCTTAGCCTCCTTGCCCTACCTGTCCTCGTCCCCTGAGAGAAGTTTTGAGTGGGGATTAAGCAGGATGGTTCGGGCTTACACAGATGCAGATCTGGGGGTGTCCCTCATGTGGGTTGTTTGTAGTCTTAGTGTATGTGTGTTCGCGTGAAGGACACCCTGGAGAAGTAGTTAGGGTACATACTTAGCGTTCGGTACCCTGCCTTGGAGTATTTCTGGTAGGCAACAGTCAGTATGTACCCTGCTGAGTGGTCTTGTTACCAGCTATGCGGGAGTGAAAAAACCCTTGTGTTGAAAGCTCCTCAGCCAGGCATGTGATCAGGACCTGTGGTTTGTGCACACTTGTTGCATGGAGCAAGGCCAATGAGGCC